TCTCGTTCTGTCTAGGCTTTTGGAAAGAACCATTGAAGGAGAGATCATAAAAACTCAAGACCTGCCGTCGCTGGTCATCAGCGTCAGTAAAAACCCAAAAGGTTTCAAACTCGCCTGGGACTTCTTGAAAACCAACTGGGAGAAACTTGTGAAAAAGTGTGTAGCAAGCTTTCATATCTACCTAAAGACCTTGTTATATGTCAAATAAAATCACATTCTTGTTTTATGGCGCTTATGACACATTGTAGCATGTTAGATTGTGAATAGTGGTGTATTAAATCCAAATCCTCCTTTTAGGTTTGATCTCGGTTCGTCTGCGATATCTCGCATGGCGGTCGGAGTGACCGATCAGTATTCCACCAGAGAAATGCTCGATGAGGTACTTTAGGAGTCTTTTTAAAACGTATGAATGCAAACATTAGTTAACATGAATATCGAACTATACTTCTACAGCATTTATTAATATTAGTCAATGTTAGTGTTATTAGGGAGCATTAGTTAATGCATTTTAAATTAACAAGCTTTTTTTGCCACAGGATAATTATGTAAATGTGACTCTTTTTTTTCTTCTTACAATTCAGACTTTTTCTTGCTATTCTTAGTTTTTATCTCACAATTCTATTTTTCTTGCCATTCTTTTTTCTTTGTTTTTTTTCCGCAACTCTGAGATTACATCTCTCACTTTTTCAAAAACTTGCAAGATCTAAATGCAAAGTTGCAAGATATAAACACTGTTCTGCAAAGAAAAGTCTGAATTGAGATATAAACTCAGAATTCTGAGAAAAAAGTTGCAATGAACTTTTTAAATGTTCATTTAACAAGCCTCCAACAATTAACAATTCTATTTTTACTAACATTAACGAAGATTAATAAATGCTTTAAAAATATATTGCTCATTCTTTGTTCATGTTAGTTCAATGCATTTACTAATGTTAACAATATTTGTAATTTTTTCCCCAGTACTTGATGAATTTGAGAAATATTTATATTTATAGTATCTTTTGAGAAATATTACGTACACACTTCTACATTACAGCTGTTTAAGCTGCCAACATGCTGAGGTCACATGACTTCACATGAATCATGGGTGACCGATCATTTCTGGTTAATGGATATGTAAACGAAAGCATTGCACTTGCACTGATTGGTGTCAGTAGAAATCTAAGAACACTGTGGTTGGTTGTTTGTGTTGTTCCTGTAGGTTCAGTCTTTCTTCGGGTCACTAGCGCAGGATCAGGGCTCTGGGCTCCGCAGCGTTCAACAGGCCCTGCAGAAGATCCAGCAGAACATCCGCTGGATGGACAGGAACGTCCCACTACTGAAAGCCTGGCTGGACAGAAACAGTCTGATTGAGTCCTGACGAACTCTAGAGACACTTGAAAGTGTGTTTAACAGGGTGTGGAACTCAAGACTGCACCTAGTTTCACCTTGGGTACGGCACTTTACAAGGGCCATAACACTGAAAGAAACCAGCTCCGAATATGATCATACAGAACATGAACATTTTTGAAATGGCTGCAACAAAAGAAGTGTCTAAATAAGTTTTAAAATATAAATGCTAAATGTCAACTCAATGAAACCAGCGATGCACCGAAATTAGTTTTTACTGAAACACAAAAAACGAAAATGAAGTGTTCATTTGGTCAAGAAAAAAA